GTGTACAAAGCAGAGAGCTCAAATGCACCGAGATACCATCCAAATAAGAGCAATACAATGAACTCGAGTGCCAATGCCGATGCTCTCTGGTCACACCAACACTGTATCGAATGTCGCCCCTATTGTTTGGCGCTCAGCGCCCAGCCTACTCTACTCTGCCTAACTAGTCCATCTACGTTCATGCGACTGGACCACTCAGAAGTCGAAGACTAATGTACGTGACGTCAACACCAATGCCGACCACCAACATACACCAGGTACGTTCTCTCTCCTCCCCTCATCATCCCTTGGACCCCACACCTTTTGCGCCTCGTACCAGAAGACCACCTTTGCCCATCACCCGCATTGCACCCCTGCAGCCCAGCTATGGCTGCCGTGTCGGCCCCTCTCACCTCAGATCCCCTGCGTGCACCGCAGGCTGCAGCGCGCATACAGACACTTGTGCAGCAACGCAACAGTGTGTCCGCATTGCCTGCCTAGGCCAACAGCCCCCCGGCTGGGCAGCTCGCTTTCCTTTATGGAAACTGTAGCCCCTGGGCGTGGATGGAGAAGTTTCCAGTAGCTTCGAGTCCGGCCCCAGTGTCTGCGCCCAAGTCCACTTCTACAGTTAAGGGCCTGGGCCCTTTCCGGTTAAGCTCATCCAGGTTGGCGTCCAGGCACAAGTGTTTGCCACATTCTCATTGGCTTGCATTGCGTCGTGTGATGACAGTACTGCTTTCTCATTCGTTCGCGGCCACTGTGTGATGTGTCGACCTCACAATGCGTGAGCGCAGGGTGCAACCACCCGGCCCTGGGCTCAACTGTGCAGCGCAGCCCTTGTTTTTGGAAAGAGCCTGGAAGCTCATGTTGCCCTGTAACCAACTGGCGTGTTGCAACTGTGTAAGTACCCAAATATGGAAAATTCAAAGTTGTCAATTTTAGGCCTCTTGTGAATATTCAAGCCCGCCTTCACTTAGGGAGGGCACAAGACTTGCTGGGGGCCACAAACATTTGCATGTCTGATAAGGGCCCCTCGAGGGCTTGTTTTTCTCGCAAAAATACCCCCATAAGTTGAGATATATGCCAAAATGCCCCTAAAAGACGTGGGTAGAGCAGAATGCCCCACTGACAAAAAAAATAAAAATTGTGAAATACCCTTGGCATCGGTTGGACCCACATCTTTGCAATATACCCCTACCGGGTACGGTCCAACCTTGCAAAATGGTCCCCGCGCTTGTCAGCTTTTTTTCCAAGGCCCTATTGGAAAAGGCCAAGGCCCAAACGGGGAGGTCCAGATTGCAAAGTCGCACACCTGCCTCACAGGGGCAGACAACACAAAGATTTCGGCCCAAAAGGGCATTCCACTCTCCCCACATCTTTCAGGGGCATTTTGGCATATACCTCAACTTGTGAGGGTATTTTGCAAATTCTCCCTCACATTAAACATACATAGATGAGTCAGTGAAACTCCGACAAAACAGTTTGTCACAGCCCCTCGTTTGTTGTCCTCTTCTCTCTCTCTGCCTACGGTTTACCGGGCAGTTCTGTTTGTGACGATATATAT